TGTCAGACTCTTACTGACTAAAAACCGCGGTGCCACATTGCGCTTACCCCACATACCCGGCTGAACATCAGCCCTGTGGGCCCCATGAGCCCCATCTAAGGGTGTATGAACTTACATTTAAGCCATCATTATTCTTTATTTCCTTAGTGTAGATATTTACCTGATTTTACCTTTTCTCAATACAAATTAAGAAACGGGTATCGTTTCTTATGCTTATCTATATGCTTTGTGTAGGTTTGTTTACATTCCCTAAACCAGGGCTACAATAATATAGTTTCTTGGTTTATTTCAGTGTTTAGCAACCCTAGAATCCCTGTACTGGAGAAGTAACGAGAAAATCGCTCTCTTAGAAAAAGGAAGAATCGTCACTGCTCATGCACATTTTACACCAGTAACAAAAACGGCGGCAAATCGGGTCCATTCCAATCTAGCGATATTACTCACTGGTTCCACCTCTAGCATTGTTATTTTGCTTTTAGCAGTAATCTTTATAAGGCGTTGATAGATTTAAGACTAGATGAATATGGTAAGAAATACTATTTGATCTCGGTATGGGAGCAGCGTAGCTACTTATTTCATGTTCCAACCATTGTATAATGAACCAAACTTAGACAGATTTATTGTGTTTATAAAATCAGATACCATGTTGTATCATGTCTTAGAAATAAAATTTAAATAATTTGGTAGCTATGCGTTTTGATTTGTTAATATTTTTGTTTGTTGTTGTTATTAGCATAGGTAATCGGTTTTTGCAGAACGCATAACGGCTTTGGCATCTATTCATCGTCACTGTTAACCAATAGATATAATTAACATAATTAACCACCATTACCCTTGTTTATAAATAAATACTACTCTGTTAAGAAAGTACCGGGAAAAAGTCAATAATACACATAATGTTTGTTATTCATCTAAATTTATTTTATCACCTTCAAAGTATGCTCCTTCAGAAACTATACACTTACGCCAACGAATAATCCAATCATACTTTTTTTAAACGCTGTTTCCGGAATTGAGTTCAGTGCTCGCCGCGAATTCTCCTTTATGTCTTCTAACGATTGAAAACGGGTGCCACGAAGGGGTAATTTGAGTGTGGGAAAAAGAAAGAAGTCGGCTGGAGCCATATCTGGTGAATATGGTGGCTGCTCGATGGTGTTTGTTGAGTGTTTGGACAAAAAATCGTTTACAATGATGGCCTTGTGCGAAGACGCATTATCGTGATGCAAAATCCAAGAATTTTCTTTCCACATTTCTGGCCTTTTTCGTCGAATTTATTCTCTTAAACGCCGCATAACGCTCAAATAATATTCTTTATTTACCGTTTGACCTTCGGGCAAGAATTCTGAGTGCACAACACCGCGATAGTCAAAGAACACAGTCAACATGACTTTGACTTTTGATCGAATTTGACGTGGTTTTTTCGGTTTTGGTTCAGTTGGAAGGCGCCATTCCGAAGCTTGTTGACTAGTTTTCATGTCAAACTCGTAAACCCACGTCTCGTCACCAGTAACAATGCGTTTCATGAATGTTGGGTCGGTATTGACTCGTTCTAGCATGTCCTCAGCGACTTTCATGCGATTTAGTTTTTGAAGAAAATTCAGGTCTTTTGGGACTAGCCGAGCGGCAACACGTTTCATACCCAAATTATTTGTTAAAATGGTACGGATCGACTCGTGAGATACAGAAAGTTCCATGCGGCGGCCATCTCTCTCAAACTTGAATGAGGATTTTCAGTCACTATTTCCTTCACTTTTGCGATGTTAACTTCAGTTGCAGACGTTGATGGCCTACCAGAACGAGGCAAATCTTCCATCACATCTCGACCGCTTTTGAACGCTTTGTACCACTCATAAGCACGTGTTTTTGATAAAGTCGACTCACCGTAAGCCTTCTGTAACATTTTGAGTGCCTCCGAACACGAAATTTCATTGGCGATGCAAAATTTAAGACGAACTCTTTGTTCGATGTTTTTGTCCATTATGATCGCAATACACACTAGATATTATAAAACTAAAAACAGCACTTTTTTAATATAAATAACAGATGCAACTCAAATTCCGCGCCAAAATGGAAAACAGTTATGCCAATCTAACAACAACAAAAAAAATTAAAATTCTAATTTGGAATTATAAAAAAAACATTCATTCCCGATACTTTGTTGACTGAATGTAAATAAATAAAAATAAAAATGCCTTTTATTTCTTGCTACACACAGTAGATGTACACTTATAATTAAGAAAAAACAAAAAAAGTATCACAAAAAAATATATAGTTATAAAATAAAAACAGTTAAAAGGGTTTTTTTATTTCTTTTTTCTGCAAGAACCCCTCTCATTAGAAGGTGCAGGCCTCCTCCAGGGACAACCAGTGCTGTCTATCTTCTGCTGCTCTCATCCAGTGGGCACCTACTACTTTTGTGATGTCATCTGTCCAGCGTGTATTTGGTCTACCCCTTTTTCTGTGGCCCGATGGTCCTAACCATGATGTTGCTATTTTAGTCCAGCGATTGTCGTTAATTCTTGCCACATGCCCAGCCCATCTCCATTTCATTTTCTGAGCATAGCTGAGAGCGTTGATGACTTAGTTTTTTGCCTGATTTTGGCATGGCGGATTTTTTGGACCTTTCTGATCTTTAGTATGCTTCTTTCCATGCTTCTTTGTGTAGTTGTGATCTTATTTTTTGTTTTCTTTGTAAATTTCCATGTTTGACAGGCGTATGTCAGTGAGGGTAGCAGGCAGGTGTTCATGACTTTGCTTTTCAGTTTTATGCTCATATCGCTTTTAAAAATTTCTTTTAGACTCCAGATTTTTTTCCTCGTGAACCTTGTTTACCTACCTATAATTAACCACCTAAACAGATATAGGTAGGTACCATTTATTGTAAAGCATTAATTAACAAACTAATGTTGTCACCCACGAAATGCATAGATTTTTAAATATAGGTAACAATAATATCAATAACACAACTCTTAAAATATTTTTCATGCGTTTTCATAATTTATCGTAATGTGGGATGTTCTTACGTATTCAAACTACATAAATTAAAGTTATGAATACTTAATCTAATTAAAAGTTTCCTATGAAAGAAGGTAAGGCAAGGAAAACATTAAACAAGATTCTAGGAACTTGTATAATAACTTCACAAGCGAAGTGGTCTGAATGTAAACTAGATATGCCGCGCTTTACAAAACATCGTGGTGGCTCGGAGTTTAACGTGATGTGCTGCGTGAGCGACGAACTCGACGCGACGCGACGCGACGCGACGCGACGCTGCGAACGCGACAAACGCGATCAACTTGCGGCTTATATGAGATTCTGTGGCGAGACGCGACGTAACGCACACTTGTTTTGAGGGCGACCAGATGCGACAACACGATATCTATTACTGTTTTTTTTTGTAAATATGTTGCTTTGTAAAATTATGGTAAGTATTTGTTTTCTTTTATGTGCTTTTTAAGATAATTTTTTTAAATGTCCGTAGGTACTTTAAATATGAACTTTCAAGCAAAATTGTAGGTACTGTAGGTACTTCTCCATGATTCGAGAAGTAATGACCAAAATCACGTAAGACATTTGTCGCGTATAGCATCGCGTCGCATTACGTCGCTCCGTGTTGCGACGTATCGCGTCGCGTTCGTCGCTCACGCAGGGCACCCCGTCAGGATTGGACCCTTGTGCTGCCACATGCGAACGCGCGCCATCGCGTTTCCGTGAAGTCCGGGAAGCACCTGCGTCAGACGGAAGGTAATATGTATGATGAAACCGTGGCATCTATCTAGCCACTCTTTAAAAAGGATCTTACCGCTGATAACGAGCCCGGCCGGTAGGTAGATATACATAACTAGGTAGGTAAGTATATTGTAAGCTAAGCTGGTTACGGCTACTATTGCTATTTGTTAGGCTGTTTAGCCGTAACTAAAGTAAGGTAACCGTCATTATAGTTAGTTGGTATCTACCAACTTATGTAAAGCACATCTTCCATCTAAGGAATCCTAAGGAAAGACTTTGCATGTAAAAAGTGTTGGCTGAAGTGTGGGAGAGTCATGCTTCGGCACGACCGCAGTGATACCACGGCCTCACAGAAAACCGGCGTGAAACGACCATAGCGTTGTGCTTCGCCATGTGTCCCCCATCCCATCCCAATCCCTTTATACCTATTCGGAAAGGCTACAACGCACTCGTCAGTACTTTGGCGTTGGGTGTTTATGGGCGGCTTGCTTATTATCAAGTAACTCGTCTGCTCGTTTGCAGATTTACGCCATAAAAATGTGTGTGAAACAGTAGCAACAAGGTTAATTTTGTGATTCGGCTAAATTCAATTTGTTCATTCATTCCATACCTTTTAGAGGGTCTTTCAAATGGTATGTACGACGCATAAATAGACAATGACCAGACGATTTTATTAAATTCCCCCATGTAAGACAGTTCTCCTTCAATCTATCCTCTATAAAACAAACCTATAAAAAAGAAAGAAATGTGACAATCGGGTCCCATTTTAATTTTGACTTTGGCACTGTCAGTATAGATAGGTATATTTATAAGCTGGACCTGATTCATATATTTAAAATTATAAATACACCGTAATTCCAATAATTATGTAATAAAATAACTTACCTAAATATATGACAAAGTGAGGTAATGAAAGCTTTTTTTTAATGTCGCCTCTATTTCGGGAGCCAAATGATAATATGTGCAATGTCAACCATATTCGTAAGAAAAATTGCTATGATAACATAGAATTACCATTACCATTACCGATTTTGATGTCCAACGGTATGTACTCTACCTTCTTGTCTACCTAACATAGTGGAGCATACTGCATACATTTATTGTAGTGGATGTAGGTACTTCATTGTATCACTACTATGGATAGGTTACATAGATACTTTTTTATAAAATAATGGACTAATTCATCCTAATAATAGAAATAAAAGCATTTGAAGATAAATTACTTTAAATCTTCTTAGCCAGAATGTAGCACAATCTATTCTGTGGATATATTTTTAACCTGTGCTCAGAAATGTCACATTTTATTGTAAAGGCATGTTTACATTATCATCTAAAATTGATCGAAATGTAAAACGATTGGTTTTAATATACTGATTTGTGTTATTATTTGTTACTTAATTATGTTTGTAAGCAGTAAAGATAAAGAAATTATATACTACACAGTTGTTTCAATGAACAAAATGTGATAAAACAGGTCGTGATTAACCAGCCCTATGCTATGGCAAAAAATTTATAAAAAATTCATCGATGTGCATACCTGCTTACATCGACTTCAACAAAAACAATAATGATTTCGCTTCAGTAGTCCAGTAATAAAATAAAGTGCACTCCTGTGATAAATTAAAAATAATGTCGAACAGACCACATTCTAAATCACGTATTAAAGTATGTAATAAATCTGTGTTTCATCTTCAAGATAAAAAGGCAGACGAAAATGAATTATCAATTGGTTTGATTAAATCTGCGAAGAGAACAGGACAACTGAGTTTATGCAATAGGGGACTGGGGACAGGTGAGACGTAATTATTTAATAAATTCACGTATGCACCTATAATAACAAACAGTATACTTCGTATATTTCTCTGATAAAAATCATACAAATTGGTTGGCAAAATCATTTATGCTGATTGTTATTAATAGATGTTTGTTTATATTGTTAAGAACATATTTCTAGCTCATTATTCTATAAAAGTTAACATTAAAATTTCCGGATTGCGTGCAGGAATGTATACAGTAAAGTTTTAGAAAGAAATTCAACTCGCAAATAATTACATAAATTTTTCTTAATTATTGTATTTTAGTAGATAAATTGTTTAGAAAAATGTTTTGTCGTTTATCATTTCATCTTGTTGCTTTTTTATAGTACCGGATAATGTTTGGAAAATTGATGAATTGATCTTGGATGAGAGCAAAGACGTGGATTTCTCCAGGTCTGATTCCAACAAGTGGTGGACAGCTGAACCTTTGAAAACCCTTGACCTTAGTTCCAATGTTATAAAAGTTATATCGGGCAATGTCAAGTATTTGCAACACCTAGTCACCCTCAAGGTGAGTGACTTAACAACTTATTACTTATAATATTTAAATTATTAAAACTGGTGATACCAGTTGCAATAGAAGCAATTAAATCAATTTTAATATTGTGCACACCTTATTAATTTGAGCTACCTCGATAAACATGTATTTCTATCAGTAATAAAAATTCAAGGATGCAATTTTCATTTGGTTTATATGTTATACATGTTTGTAATCATGTTTTATTGGTTTTGCAAGTATTTAGGTATTTGTTTTTCATTGTATATGTAACACCAGTACATATTTTAAAGACTGCATTATGACAAGGAAATTATTTATTTCCCTTAACATTCATTTCAAATTAGAGAACATAATTGAGTATGAGGAACCATGCTCATCAATGGGACCAATTCCTTCAAATAAAAAAAAATTAAATGGTTTTAAGCATTTTTCTCCAATACTTACTTCTTAATATTTTCATTACTAGCTACACAAGTGTATGTACTATTAAAAGTAAGTATAATTTTTTTTTATTATGTTTTTCCAGCTACATGACAATGCAATATCTAGTCTTCCGCCCGAGTTTGGGGAACTTAACAATTTGATGACCCTGAGTTTGGCACACAATAAGTTGACGGCACTCCCCAAAGAGTTTTATAAGTTAACTGAATTACGCTGGCTGAGCCTATCGCACAATGAGATTTTGAAAATAGAAGCGGACTTTGGAGATTTTGTTATGCTGACTTTTTTGGTAAGAGACTCTTTGCCAAGTTCATTGTTTTATTATGCTGCATCATGGTGTGTAATCGAATTTTCGTTTTTCTTTAAAAAAATGAATTTTATTTTTGAGTAATTATTAGTCACTATCGTGATGCATTCAAAATTTATTGAAAATAATAACTTACTGACTTGAAAGTAAAGGGCTTTTCTCAGTTCATTCAAGGGAGTTTTGAATAAATTAAGAATATCACTTTATTCAAGATCATTATCATTGTTTTAAGTTTTCTTTTTACTGATCTTAAGTAATACAGATATTAAGTAAATATGATTATATTTTTTTCCAGGACTTATCGCACAATAAACTGACAATCCTACCTCCAGGTATGGGCTATTTGGTGAGATTGGTAGAAATAAATCTGTCGCACAATCAGCTAGAAGAGCTTCCTCCTGATATTGTAAACCTCAGAGGTATGTATTTTTTAAACAGTATAAAGCTTTTTTGTACCTTTCATTGAAATTATACTAGAATTTTTGTTAAGAACAAGATATCTTTTAATGACTTCACAAAAACTTTTAATTCTTTTCTTACATTCGAAATTATCAACATTTATTAAATTTAAAATATTTCATTGAGTGGCTATTTCAACTCTTAATAACGATGCTTCCATTGCCAAGCAAATATAAACCTTATCCTTATTGTCAAACACAGTTAATTTTTGCATAACTTGTTATAATTCTACAGCTTTAGAATCTAAAAGTCATAAACAAATATGAACCTTGGGTACTACATATCAAGAGTAATTTTACAAAAATACATTTTGATACTGAAGAATTTTATTAATGTAGTGTACCTAATCAAGTTTAATTACCGAGTTGCCGGTAGAGAATGCATTATTGTGTGTTGTCTCAGTGCGACGTGACTAATTGTTGTTTTGATTATACGTTGCACTTGCGACTATGTTTACCCATCACGAAAATTTTCGTTCCTAGGTTATAGTCCGGGTGTTAAATAGGTGGACTGGTACTGCTTATCGTAATACGATAATAAATATATCTGTATGAGAATGAAAAACAACAATGCGACCTTAGGCAAATGAGCAAACGGATTACCTGATGGTGAGCAATTCGGAAGAGTTACGAGTGCGTTGCCGATGTTTTGGGGATAAGGGTTTTATAGATTTTGGGATTGAGGAAAGATCGGGAGACGGAAAGGATTGGGCCTCCAGTAACCTAACTCACACGGCAAAACACAACGCTGTGGTGGTTTTGAGCCGGTTTTCTGTGAAGCCGTGGTATCACTCCGGTCGAGCCGACCCATTCGTGCCGAAGCTCTCTTACACTCAAACTTATCTAATAACGTCGCCACGGCGCGCACTCTGCTTATTAATAAGAGACCCGTTGTGACTCGAAATTAGTCGAGCTTTCCTCTAATATATCTTTTTTAAATATATGTTTAATTAATAAAATATTGTTTTAAGATTTGAGAAAAATGAATATCAGCAACAATAATCTGAAGAAGCTACCGCCACTTGGAGAACTGAGGAAAATGGAAATACTGGACGCTAATCATAACGACATTGAAGAACTACCCGACTTTTATGGCTGTACAGCCCTTAAAGAATTGTATATGGCTAATAATTATATTAAGGTACGCTTTAATATATCTTTACTAATATTATAAAGGGGTAAAATTTTGTAAGTTTGTATGTAGGGGGTAATTCTACCGCTGCTTGGTCAGATTGCCAAAATTCTTTCACTGATACTGAGCTACAGTGTTCCTGTGTGCTATATGCTATATAAAATCTCGCTACGATCAAATGGAACCGAGCAGCGGGTGAAACCCCACGAGAGTAGCTAGTATATTTTCAGAAAAAGATTTGATTTCAAACTTTGGTTGCACGTTTGGCGCAGTGGCTCGGCAACTGGCTGCTGTGCAACGTGTCGCGGATTCGTTTCCCGCACGGAACCACTTTTGGTGTTTCGGGTCTGAGTGGCTTGTGGGAAAATCCTAGTGTGAGGCAACGTTAAAAATACTTTTGTATTTTTCAGATCTCTATTTACATTCGTAACTTATCTCCACTATAAGTAATCCAATTTTTACTAGCATATCTAACACCCGGTTTCTGAAAGGCCGATGAATGTTAAAATCAATTTAATCTCTTGTCAAGTCATCTGATTGGTTAACTGAATTATCAACAACCAATCAGATGACTTGACAAGAGATTTAACAGGAGATAAGTTAATTTTAGCGTTGACAAGCCTTTCAGAAACCGGGTGTAAGTCTATCATATATCTTTTAAAAAACAGCTAATTGCATAATACAGATGAAACATATATATGTTTCATCTTCGCGCTGATGGCAGCATTCTTGACATTTCGACAGAATCTGTCTATTTATCTTATCTCTGTTTGTGGAGTTAATACTTACATACACCAATTTACAATGGCAATGTTGATAAAAAAAGAAAAGAATTATTCTACGGATACCTTATCAAAATTTTTATGGCATATGGGTAAGCAAGGGGCACTGGCCATAGGCATCGCCATAGGATTTTTTTATTTTATCAAGGCTTACCAACTAATATATGTTCAGACAGGCTTAAGAATATAAAAACAACAGTTAATGTATGCTCTTAATTTAAAGGTAGGCACAGCATTTTTCCTAGACTGTTCAAGCAAATAACTATATACATTCAGTCAACAAAGTATCAGGAATGAATGTTTTTTTTATGGTTCCAAATTCGAATTTTTTTTTTTGTTATTGTTAGATTGTCATAACTGTTTTCCATTTTGGCGCGGAATTTGAGTTGCATCTGTTATTTATATTAAAAACAGAGCTGTTTTTAGTTTTATAATATCTAGTGTGTATTGCGAATTTCATAATGGACAAAAACGTCGAACAAAGAGTCTTAAATTTTGCATCGCCAATGAAATTTCGTGTTCGGAGGCACTCAAAATGTTACAGAAGGCTTACGGTGAATCGACTTTATCAAAGACACGTGCTTAAGAGTGGTACAAAGCGTTCAAAAGCGGTCGAGATGTGATAGAAGATTTGCCTCGTTCTGGTAGGCCATCAACGTCTGCAACTGAAGTTAACATCGCAAAAGTGAAGGAAATAGTGACTGAAAATCCTCATTCAAGTTTGAGAGAGATGTAATAATAAAAAATAATTTCTGTATGAAACGTGTTGCCGCTCGGCAAGTCGCAAAAGACCTGAATTTTCTTCAAAAACTAAATCGCATGAAAGTCGCTGAGGACATGCTAGAACGAGTCAATACCGACCCAACATTCATGAAACGCATTGTTACTGGTGACGAGACGTCTCCGCCAGGCCTTAGTGGCGGAGTGGCAGACGCGTTTAGCGCAACCCACGGCGGGGCACGCCGCTATAGCGGCGGTAAGGCCAATTCTACAGGAGTGGCTCAATAGGAGCCACGGCGCCCTCAGCTTCCGGCTGACGCAGGTGCTTACCGGACACGGGTGTTTCGGGAAGTACCTGTGTCGCATAGGCCGGGAGCCGACGTCTCAGTGCCACCATTGTGGTAATTGCCGCGACGATACGGCGCTGCATACGTTGGCGGAATGTCCAGCTTGGGCCGAGCAGCGCCGTGACCTGGTCGCGGCCGTAGGTGCTGCGGGAAATCTCTCGCTTCCGGCTGTAGTGTCTACTATGGTCGGGAGCGAGTCAGGGTGGAGTGCCGTCGCTATCTTTTGCGAGGCCGTGATGCTCGCAAAGGAGGCGGCGGAAAGGGAGAGAGAGGCTGCCTCCTCTCTTCCCTCCCGCAGCAGACGCACTAGACGTCATAGAGTGGCCGACCTGCGGCCACCGTAGGGCGCGGCCTGCGGACGACAGACTCGGGGCGTCTAGTCGTCCGACCAGCAGCAGGCCTCGAGGCGGCGGTGCCGTGTTCCGCGCGCGCCTCGTAGTGGAGTCCTGCGGTCGGGGTGACGGCCGCAGTGGGTGACGGGGCCCGCCTTACCATCTGGCGGGCCAATACCCGTCGGGGGGTTGCGACGAATGCTTCGGCGATACCCGCCACTCCGACACATGGGTTATTGGAGGAACACCGGGTTGGTTTTTAGTCAGTAAGAGTCTGACAGTACCCTTCGCCCTTACCCCGAGGGCGGTGGGTCTCCATGAGGATTTTCCAACCCGACACCAAAAAAAAAAAAAAAAAAAAAAATGGTGACGAGACGTGGGTTTACGAGTTTGACATGCAAACTAGTCAACAAGCTTCGGAATGGCGCCTTCCAACTGAACCAAAACCGAAAAAACCACGTCAAAGTCATGTTGACTGTTTTCTTTGACTATCGCGGTGTTGTGCACTCAGAATTCTTGCCCGAAGGTCAAACGGTAAAAAAAAGAATATTATTTGAGCGTTATGCGGCGTTTAAGAGAACAAATTCGACGAAAACGGCCAGAAATGTGGAAAGAAAATTCTTGGATTTTGCATCACGATAATGCGCCTTCGCACAAGGCCATCATTGTAAACGATTTTTTGTCCAAACACTCAACAAACACCATCGAGCAGCCACTATATTCACTAGATATGGCTCCAGCCGACTTCTTTCTTTTTCCCACACTCAAATTACCCCTTCGTGGCACCCGTTTTCAATCGTTAGAAGACATAAAGGAGAATTCGCGGCGAGCACTGAACTCAATTCCGGAAACAGCGTTTAAAACAAAATTTCCATGATTGGATTATTCGTTGGCGTAAGTGTATCGTTTCTGAAGGAGCATACTTTGAAGGTGATAAAATAAATTTAGATGAATAACAAACATTTTGTGTATTATTGACTTTTTCCCGTTACTTTCTTGACAGAGTAGTATAATTAAGAATTTAAACATTAACAAAAAATCGTTACATGTAGGTAAATAACGGAGATATCGGCGGACAAACATGAAATCGGCCGAATTGAGAACTTCCATACTTTTTGGAAGTCGGTTAAAAATTAAAGATAGTTAAAATATAACTTTTAAACATAACATGCAGGTTTAACACCATTGTAGTTACAATTTATTGCCAACCTTTTTGATCTTGGAGGTAAGGAAGGAATGGGGTTTCCGGTAACCACCATGCCACCAATTTTCTATGACACTTTGTGAATTTTTTTCGAACAGGCCTATTTGTGCCGATCCTGGCTCCCCAGAAAGATCTGTTAGTGAATTTATTAATATTGTTTACTTGAATTTATTCTTTGTTACAGGAGATAACTGAGGAGTTCTGTGATCAGATGCAGCATTTGAATGTGTTGAACATAAGGGACAATAAACTGGAAGTATTGCCAGAGAATATCTCGCTGCTGCAGAAACTCAAGAGGCTGGACCTTACTAATAATAATCTGAACAAGTAAGTTTACTATTAACAACCTACGAAGAAAGTATTAGGTACTATTATCGCAATTTCAACTTCTTTTTATCTGATAGGACGGCTAACAAAGATTCCTACGCAGAAGGCCCAATTCTTCACCTTAACGGCAATGTACTCATAATTCCTCGTAGATGAGGGTGTCCATGGGTGGCGCTGGTTGCTTACCATCAGATTGCTACAGGAGATATTTTTTTTACAATTGCTGTATTCGACATACCTTGTAACCTTACGCATATTAATAAACAGTAATTTCCAGGTTACCACGAAACCTGGGCTTGTTATCGCAGTTGCAAAGCATCAACATGGAGGGCAACAAGCTATCGTTTGTAAGACAGGACGTGATCAGAGGAGGGACAGAGAGGATGATGAAGTACCTTCGAGACCGCATCACCGAGGAGGTCGTCAACGAGACCCGACTCACTCCCGAAGAATGGCCTGATAAGTAAGTTTATAACTTCCTCTCGATAGGAGCTACCGTTGGCGCTGACTGAATTCGATAGTGGCACCAAATAAATTTCAACAATTTGAGAAAACTATAAATATTCGAAGACTAGTGCGCGTGCGCAGCAAAATTCTTACCGACTGTATTTTATGGAATACTAGCTAATCTCGCGCGGTTTCACTTGCTGCTCAGCTCCTAAGGGTCGTAGCGTGTTTATAGCCTATATGTATAGCCTTCCTCGTTAAATGAAATAACACAAAATGATTTGTTCCATTCGAACCAGTAGTTCCTGAGATTAGCGCGTTCAAACAAACTCTATTAGCTTTGTATTAGTATAGACATAGTTCATTTTTGGTCTCTATCTCCTCTACATTATAAACTCATTTACCAGCAGTAATGTTTTTAAATATATTTTATTATTTTCTCGTTTATACACTAACGACACTTAGGCTTCCAACCGCGTAGTTTATGAACTAACAAAGTTGGGTCTTTAAACAACATCATTATCAACATCATCCTATAAGTGCCCACTGCTGAGCAAAGGATCTCATACGGAGAAGGTTAGAGCATTAATCACCACTCTTGCTTAATGCGGGTTGGCGATTTCAAACTTGTAATCAGAAATTAAAAGTCCAGGTTTACTCACGATGTTTACCTTCACCTTATGTCAGTGGTGTCTAAATAATCATAGAAAGTACATATCTCGGAAAAAGTCACTTTGGTACTTGCTAGGTTTCGAACCCACACCCTCATGCATGAGAAGCGGGCGCCTTAACCTCCGGGCCACCACGACAGCCACCGGGTCCGGGTCTTTAACGCATAAAATGAAGTATATCTACCAAATTTAGAACAATAACTAATTACTAACTCAAATTGCCAAAAATTCAGCAGCAATATGGCGTGAGATCATTCTTGACTTATTTATTAATTATAAATAATTAACTCTAAAAATAAATGTGGCGGCGTTATGTCCCGTGTTATAATAGATTAATCTCTATTGTACGAACAGGATGTAAGATCTAAATAAATGCCTTATGGTGAATTAAAAACTTTTTGCTACCCAATTGATGATATCATTCTCAGCCTATTATGTGCCCACTGCTAAGCAAGAAGGTTTGAGCAATATTCATTAGGCTTCCTCATTATTGATTGGCGATTTCGTACTTATAATTAGAAATTGGATAGTTTCCTAGGTCAAAAATAAATTAATTCGATTTTTCAATACAATAAAATATTGAAAAATATACTTTTATTCATCGAACGATCGATACACTAAATTTTAGATACTTTTTTTAGCTAATTTTTTAGAAATCAGTAACGCATTTGACGCAAAAATACTATGACGTCATAACTCAGTGTTTCATATACAAATTTCATAGAAAAGTAGAGTTTTTGACGTTTGTATAAAAGTATTGAATTTGACTAGTTGAAAACTACCGTACTATAAGACCAGGTTTCAGTTGTTTTCCTTCACCGTTTATCTGTAATGTCTACATTATATTTAAAAAAAAAACAATTTACCTTACATACTTATAACTCAACAAAAGTGTCTATTCCATACCCTTGGGGTTTTATAGGCGCGATGATGTTATGATCATCATCAGCCTATGAGTACCATAAGTATCCATTGCTGAGCAAATGCCTCTATTCATACGGAGACGGTTTGAGCATTAATCACAACGCTTGCTCAAAGCGAGTTGGAAATTTCAAACTGACGACCTGAATTTATAATTAGCAAATTATAAGTTCAGGTCTCCTCACGATGTTTTCCTTCACTGATGCCCGATGGCATGATATTATAGGCAAAAGACGAATGTTTTCACCTAAGCATTGGCACACATTTACGTTTAAAACATACTATTTAATTTAGTTGGCTACTCCATTTAAGATTGACTGCTGTAATCTGGGAGTGCTATTGTTACACACATAATGTGCCCATACAATCATTATACTCTTTGAAAGCCCTTGACTTTGGTGAATGGATGATATGGGATGTAAAGGCCTAAAACCGATGTCAAATCATGTACAATGTTCATACAACAATACACTATCGAACCTTTCGTATTTAAGAATGTTTAACCTTATGTTGTTAGACATATGGCTCAATTCTAACTGACTGCACGTTTGGCGCGGTGGCTGAGCAACTGGCTGCCGCGCAATATGTCGTGGATTCGATTCCCGCAAGGAACGACTCTGTTTGTTCCACAAATTGTTGTTCCGGGTCTAGGCGTGATGTGTATGTGAAATTGTATGTTTAAACCACACCCACGACACAGGAGCAAATCCCAGTATGGGACAACGTTTTTTTTAAAAATAATAGTTATAAAAAACAATTCAAAACAAATTTTAACATGTGTTTACTTCATTATTATTTTTGTATTTTCGACTTTACCATATTAGTTTTAATGTTGTGTTTCTATTGTTTTAGATATACACTTAAGAAAAGTCAAGCTTTAATGGTGCCTGGTCGGGAACTGGAGAATGTACCGGATCACGTGTTCAAGGCGGCGGCGGAGGCTGAAGTTCATATTGTCGATTTCTCTAAAAACAAACTTACTGCACTACCCAGTGGGTGAGTCAAAACTATAATAAGTAGTCATAATACAGTACAATAACGAATAATAATAATAATTAAGTAGTATCTTTGTGTTGTAGTCCTGTATTTTCATAATACAAGCCTCAAAGTATGTTTTTTTTAATCTTTATTTAGAAAAAGGTTTTAATCGCAGGGCGTTTATACCAACCCAAAGTTTATGTAGCGATTATATATTTTTATGTGTAACACTAAGCTTAGGTATGCGTATGAGTGCCACTCCTGGGATATAGGAGATTGTCTTATGCGCGGGTACAAATAATAGCACCGGTTTTCAACAGATAAGGTTTTATATAAAAAAGAGTAACCTTTTTAACCGACTTAAAAAAAGGAGGAGCTTCTCAATTCGACGCGTATTTTTTTTTATGTATGTACACCGATTATACGAAGACGCCTGAACAGATTTTTTCACCTCACCTTGGGTTTTTCTCTGTCTCACTCAAAGACTCGATTGGTAGCAAATGCCTTAAAAATATAAAATTGTCCTGAAATGCTTTAGTCCGCCTAAATCAACATATGTCTCTTAAAATCTACAAGCCAAAAAATAGACGGTCGATAGGTAACGACCATGGACCGCAAGACGTATCGTAGACTGACCTTCTGCTAAATGAGTCGACGACATCGTCAGAGTCGAGAGGTGGCGACTTGTCGTTCGACGTGGAGAACTGAAGGGGAATCCTTTCTCAAATAGTGGACGTCTTCCCGCTGACGATAATGATGATGATAATATGCATAAAGTAAATAAATAATTGACTGCACGGTTGGCGCAGAGGCTAGGCAACTGGCTGCTATGCAACGTGTGTCCTGTTTCCGAAACATCACTCTGTGTGATCCACAAATAGTTGTGTCGGGTCTGTGTGTAATGTGTATGTTAAATTGTATGTTTGGAAACGCAGCTTGTAAACACACGCACCGCAACCTCGGCCCAGAGCAGGAGAAGGAACAGGGGGGTTTTTAGTCAGTAAGAGTCTGACACTCCCTCCCTGGGCAGGAGAAGTCATTTGATGATTGTCCCCTCACAAAAAAAGCTTGTAAACACACAGGAGAGAATAACAAATAAATAAATAATGTTAATCAAGTTACTAAGTATATTTTTATTTCCAGCATAGTACAAGTGAGCGATACATTATCTTCGCTGGTGTTGTCATCGAACAACTTATCCAGCATCCCACCCGAGATAAACCGATGCCGACACCTACAATACTTGGACCTCGGCAAGAACATGCTCATGGAGTTACCTCCAGAACTCGGCGACTTGAAGAACTTGCGAGAACTAGTCATTTCTAATAATAAGTGAGTGCTTAATAATTATTATTATTGAATGTTATATTGAGTACTAGCTGTCCCAGCAAACTTCGTCCCGCGTCGAATGTAACTATTTTTGTTTTTATTAAGTCATATTCTCTGACCTTTTAAACCTTCCCTGTATATTCAGCAACATTTTTTAAGTCCACAATTAAATAAGCTACATCGGTTCAGCCTTTCTCGAGTTTTAGCGAGACTAACGAACAGCAATTCATTTTTATATAATAAGATATGTGATTAAATGTATTTATGCGTGGGATGCAAGCTTATGAAGTACGCGAAAATCGTACTTGGTGGCGCGGTGTTGTTGTTTTTTCTGTCATAAGCAAACGGATTACCTAATGGTAAATAATCGACGTTGCCCATGGACAATTACAAAACCTGCGTGTTGCCGGGCTCTTGTCGGTTATTTAAAGTTTAGGGATAGGTGATAGAGGATTGGGAATGGGGTGGAGAGAGAATTGGGCCTCTGGTAACCTCACTCACACACGACTTAAGTGTTGCTTCACGCCGCTATTCTACGAGGCCGTGGTATCACTGGTCGATTCAATATTTGAAACATTCTAGGCTCACTACGAAATACGTCATAGGTAATTTGATTTTAAGTGTCGGAGAGTCATGCTTCGGCGCGAATGGGTCGGCTCGACCGGAGTGATTCCACGGCCTCACAGAAAACCAGCGTGAAACAATCACAGCGTGGTGTTTCGCCGTGTGAGTGAGTTAAATCGCCAAATCTCTAAATCCCTAATCCCTAAAATGTCGGCAATGCACACGTCACTGCTCCGTTGTTGCGGGTGTCCATGGGCGACGATTATTGCTTTCCATCAGGTAATCCGTTTGCTCGTTTGCCGACTTACTCCTATAAATTAATTAATAGCTATGTCATTATTGTCCTAGGTTCACGAAGATACCTCGGTGTGTGTACGAGTTGGATAACCTTGAGATACTGTTGGCTGCTGAAAACAAGATAGACGAGATCAACGTGTCGTCGGACGCGCTCGCCAGGCTGAAGAAGTTGGCAGTACTGGACCTCACTAACAACAGCATATACACGGTTCCACCTGAACTTGGAAACTTCACACATCTCAGGTCAGTTCAATAAACAGTTTATAAGATGGGAAGTAAGGCCTATGTTCAGCAGTGGACGTCCTGTGGCTGATATGATGATGATGATGATGAAGATGGGAAGTTAATTGAGATGTTTGTTAACCTGCTTTCAGCTTTTTAGGTCAAGTCCGAAAGGCAAAAAGCCATATAATAATGAGATTTCCGTAATGTCTTCGTTAGGAGCAAAGAATTGTGTATAGAAGACAAGTCTATTTTTCTAAATAGACTTGTCTTGGGAATTATGAGCTGAAAAGTGTCTACTAGTTACATTAAATAATTTCAGCGAAGTCTCATTAACAATAACCACACATTCTATAAGAGATTTTGACGTCGATAATAAAATTTAAAGTGTCGCCCTTAAACATCGTTCATCGCGTTCCAGCTGATAAGTTTATAAAAGTTGACTATCTCACGTTTGAATCCATTGAGTTAAGCAAAAACCGTATGACAACGAAAAAATCCGGTTGGGTTAGGTTCATATGGATTTGGGCCTATGGAGATAGGCCGTCACGAGTGGGGCTGCGGATGAATTTGGATTCCCGCGGCCTCACGCTCACGTAAGAGACGGGACAACAATGTGGTTTTTAGTCAGTAAAAGTCTGACAGTCCCTTCGTCTCCCCAGGCGAGGGGACTCAAGGGACACTAAAATATTTACGACTTTAGGGCTAATTTTTCAATAGTCAGATAAATGTTATCAGAATAATAAAATTGTTGCTGTCACTGTCTTATACAAACATTCTGACGCGACAGATACGGTAGTTTTCAACTAGTCAAATTCAGTAATTTTATCCAAATGTCTACTATAACGATACTTTCTATAAAATTTGTATGAAACACTGAGTTATGACGTCATAGTACTTTGGTGTCAAATAGCTTACTTATTTCTTAATAATTAACAGAAACATATCTAAAACTTAGTGTATCGATCGATCGATGAATAAGAGTATAGTTATTTTTCAATATTTTATTGTATTGAAACGTCGAATTTATTCATTTTATACCTAGGAAACTACCCAATTATTTCTCAGGTAACTTTTATCTAACCATTGAAAAATCTGCCCTTAGTCATTCAAAAATGTTTTGGTTGAACAATGTCAATATCTCTCTATCTTCTTCTCGTTACTCGGCAAACACGTGTCTGACCTGAGATTCAACTAATAAGAAAGGCTTGTAATCTAATTTTTAAAATAGACATTCCAACAATCATTGTTGTCATTTGTGTCACATGTGTTTACAATACATTAAGAACGTTAATAAAAGGGAAGTATTCGATGTTATGATACTTCACGAGCCGGTTTATCATTATGCATTGAAAAGTAAGCGTGTTAAAGAGACAATAGTTGCGTATTTTGTTGTATTCTAGAATTATTCCATTGTTTCAGAACTCTGGAGTTGATGGGGAACTGTTTCCGACAGCCACGGCACGCCATACTCGCTAAGGGGACCGCCTCCATCCTCTCTTACTTAAGGGACCGCATACCCACCAATTAGTATTACATAATTCTATGGCCCCACCCTTCGTAACGTACCAAAGATTGTTTTGCAAGTTCACATTAGAGAAAAGCACAAAAACATCACAGTATTGGGATATCAATAGAATATTTCGTTGTCTGAAATGCACAAATATAATACTCCTATACTCCCTTAACATGGTAAATATGTTCTTCAAAAGGACCCTCTCTTTTTTGGTTATACGTTATTGCAACAAATGTACAGATAAATAAATTTAAGTTGTATAAATATTGTTATTACTTGTACAATAGTATAGTGAACTTACATAATTAATCTGTGGAACGTCAAGTCAATAAAGTGTTGCCATACGAAACGCAGTCAGCTTACTTAGCCAAATATTATTTTTCGCGTACCTGATTATGGTAAATCATTTATCGCTTTATTTTCATTATTGTGAAAGCCTTTCGTTATTTTTTTGTGTTATTGTTATTGATTTAAATAAATTTGTTATTAAATTATGTGACTAACAATAGTTGGTAGCTACGAATAACAAGTATAGTGTTATGGGTTGTGAAATATTAATATTACGTCATGAAATATCACGAAATTGTGTAGAGTATGGAGACAAGTATTTACAAAGAGGTTTTGAATGCAAATTACCTACTCAATATGCTATTGCCAAACGTAGGCTATATTAAATATTTTTGGACAAATTGTTTTAGCGATGCAACTGCAAATGCATTGATCTGAATGTTTATGAGGCTATCTATATTCTATCCGTATCATTCGTACAACAAAATGTTCATATTTGACAATAGATTGTTCTAGAATGTTGGTGTAAAGTTCACGAAAATCTATATGCTTAGATTTAAAAATAACCATTTTAATCAGTACAATTAATCATCAAATTAATTAAGGAATCTAATAAGTAACATGTTGTTTGAAATTCAACCAAAGTATTGTTCGTACCTGACATTTATTTTGTAAAATATACACAGCCTTTGTCTTGCTTGTGTGCATGGAAATATTATAAATTATATAACGGAATGAAGCACAAGTTTGTTGAAAAATTACAAGCACAATATTATATAAATTGAAAATCTTTGAGCATATCGTGTGATTATGAAATATATGCTTTTAAAGTTCATTTTTGTATTATTATTTATCCCTTCAACGATTTCCACTGTAATATGCACCTTAGTGCTACGCTATAAGTATCATTTAGCAAATTGTATCAACCTGCAAGAACTAGGAAGGAGGCAAAGTGTAAAATCCATGTATCAACTATTAACAACTTTGAGTAAGACAGCTGCAATACATTTTCAACCTTATATAGAGAAGTTTAGATTTCATATTGCATTGCTGTATAGCTACTAGTAGATACTAGATCAAGGTAGTATGTAGAATAAAATGTATAAATAATAATATGTTATGTGACTTTGAAGACTTCTGAAGTTAGTTATTTATCATAACGCTGTCACGCTGATAATTAAAAGGACACAAAAACTTTATTAAAGGTTTGAGTAGGTATTTTTTTTACAGTATCATTATTTAGATTTGTTCAACTTTGTGTAGGGTCTTACTGCCGCACTCAGAGACATTAAATGATTACTCCTTCTAATACTTGAGCGGACACTCACCTACTCCATTATAGGACATATTCTGTTTGGAGGATAAATAACGATTTTATGACCTTTTTTATAACATTGATTTTATCTAGAAATAGATCAATTTTGGTATTTTCGAATGGGTTAAAATATTCTTTAGTTACAATTTTATTGCGAAAACAATTCATTTTATTAGGGTGGAAAAACATCAAATGTTTTGCACTGGGTAGGGAGGGAGGGAGGTTGTCTCGATTACCTAATATTCTTAATAAGTAAGAAGTTGTCGATATTTTGAATAAAAAATCATCATTGATATATCTTCTACAATGTTGTTCCACAAAGCAGTGTTAACCTCGTCAGTCGCAATTAGGAATGGTTAATGATTCATAAAATACTGAAGACGTTGAACACAATAAATACAAACGATAACAATGCATAATTACCTCTAGTTTTTGTCCGTAGTCGGCAGCAAATATGCATCTAGACATGCTGAGTTGATAACATACTTGTTCACGATATATGCACAAGAAAATCACTACATTAGTACCTATATAACAAAGTCGCTTTTTCTGCCCCGTGTCCCCTGATGGATATGTATGCTTCAATCTACAAAACTACGCAATGGATTTTGATGCGATTTTTTAATACTTATAGGTACTTAGATAGATTGAAGCTATGTACCTATAATAACATTCATTACAATAACGGTCACTAGTTACATAATGAAGCAACAGCAACACACAGGAAAATTGAAAGCTAAACGTTCGCCCACGTAATCACTGCCATTAAAAAAATAAAATTGACGATTGTCTTGTAAGGGCTACACAATACTTACAGACACAATATGCTGCATTATGTATCTACAGGTAATGTTGGTATTTGGCGTGTTATCAAGTTGCCTCGGTACCGCGATTCGTCCAAACACTATTTACATAACAATAGAATGAATGTTACTGAATTAACATAACAGATTGGTTTTCTAGGTCGAGTAGGGACTGGACATCTCTTATTTTTTTGTGTTTGTGTATTTGGAATTCTATTTGAGATTTACTAGTGGGATTGTGATTTCATAAATTACTAACTTTTGCCCGCGACTTTGTTCGCGTGGAATAGTGACTTCCTGCAGATTTTTGGAGTAAAAAATATCCTATGACCTTTCTCGAGTTCCAAACTATGTCTGTACCAAATTTCACACAAATAGGTTCAGTAGTTTAGGCGTGAAGAAAAGACAGACAGACATACAGACAGAGTTACTTTCGCATATTCGTTTGGACTATGTAGGTATGTGTAGAGAAAAATACAACTTTATGGGATATTAGCATCCCTCCCCCTCCCTGCTTCGCACGGTTGTCCAGCTACGTCGATAACATCGAAAGGATCGCTATTTTCCACATTGTCTACCTTTCTGGAATGTTTTTTTTTGAAAAGAACCTCTAATGCGCACAACAAAAAGAATTGGCAAAATAGTTCCTGCCTTGTATTATGTACTTACCAACACATCTCAAATCAACTAGTTTTGCTTGCTCATAATCATGAGTAGTCATCAACAGATACGAACACTTGACCATTGTCTTTTTCCAAATGTGATGTATCACGTATCTCACGCATGTGTCTCCTGTATATAAGTACCTACGCTAGTACCTACATGCTTTTGTGACTAAATAGTATCGCGCAATAGTCAAATCCTGGACGCATAATGACTGAGCCATCATTGTCGGAGGATGTATAGGTGGAGCCATTCATATTGTGTCCGCGAATTAAGAAGTCATCCTTTTGACGGATGTTTGTGAAATATCCGACGATTTGGGAAAATTAGATAGTGCGCATGGAAATAACACGTAACGTGCCAACTTTACCATATCTATGTTTTCTATAAACTTGCCTGTATCGGCGGTTGTTACAAAATACGTCGTTGCGGGCGCCTAACGTCATTATTATCGTTTTCACTATCGTTTGACGTTGACTCGTCACTCTATTGTAAATTGTTGTCTGTAAACCCATAATAATAAACTGCAAGGTCGTGCCGGCGACGTATACCTGGCAAAGTGGGGGCCGGCGGCACATGACGGCTGCACTTCATAGTTTCAGTAGCCGCGCTGTCACGACCGTAGCCATCTGCGCCGGCAACCATTGCACACGAGTTTCTCGTCACTTGTCCATTACCCTGGAGCATCGTATTCTATCCGCGTACACAATATTGAATAATATTCTTGGAGCTCAATAACGAATAACCTTCGCTTTTGTTCGTCTTGGTACCTATCAATTCTTTACAAAAATATATTTCCGTATTGAAGTTTACCATCAGAAGTTGTCAAAGTGGTATATTTGTTCAGGTGCGGCCGAAATTTGTGTAACATAGCGTTCTGTATGTAATTGCGCAAGTGGTTCATCACCCTGGTGGACGGAGTTCCTTTATTCTGTGCAGTGGAAGACGCGCCTTGGTTGTCAGTGTAGGTACCTTATATAAAGTACCAGTTCGAACGTTACGTTTAAAATGCATATCAGCGAACTCATAAATAGTAGGCGAGATAGTACATAATTGTAACAAGTGAAGTGATGGTAACTATTGTGAATTGTTGAACAGTTGAATAAATCTTTAGTATAATTTAATGAGTCGTAAGCGTGGTTGAACGTGATCGCAATCAAATATTATGAAGCCATATGGAGTCGTCATTTTCCTGTCGTCGCTCATATTTATTAAATGTAAGTGACTCATTTTTATATGGTCTTTAACTAATGATTTAAGCGATTTATAAGTGAGAAGTTTTTGATGGTAGGCATAGCGCTTCTCATCTGTCGCATGAGTAATAAGTATATATAATAATTGTCAGAGAGAGAGAGACATACAATTATAATATAGGTTCTAGCTATGATGCCCGGCTTCGCTCGTGAGTTGATATTAGATTACCTACGTGGTAGATGAAAAAATAAAAATACAATGACGTTCAAAGTAAAAAATATATTTTGAAATAATTTTCTTTATTTGCATGTATTATTTTTTTCTCATTATTTACACTATACACAACATTTTTCATTTTATTGTCCGGGGTATATATAAAAATGTTGATACTTATATATCAACATTTTTCGAAGTTCTTATAGGTGATCGTGCTAGATAGTTATGTTGTCGACATTATCGTTCGCCGTAACAATAGATACCGCAGCTGTAGCATAAGCAGTGAAGGCGAGTAAAAACTTGTAATTTGTATTTTGATTTGTAATTTGAATAACTAAAATGATGTTGCTTTACTACCATCATATAAGTTAGCTACTGCTGTATTAATACACAAAGTTTAATAACTTTATAAAGTAAAAAAATAATTTAAGACTTTTATTGTGTACAGTGAATAAAATTCAGCTATTCGACAACAGATGGCACTACTATCCTTACTTTCCAACATGAAGGGTTGGGAAATCCCTTATATTTTTAAAAACAAACCCTTTAGGTTGAAACGGGAACTTTCTTGTTCGAGGGGGAATAAATGGCTGTCACTTTATCGTGCTGTGTTTGCTTTTTATATTTTATCGGCACGGACATTTCAACAACTTAGTTTTATTATATAGGTACCTATAATGATAATGATTAGCTTAAGTGTGGGAGAGCCAAGCTTCTGCACGAATGGGTCGGCTCGACCGGAGTGATGCCATGGCCTCAGAGAAAACCGGCGCAGAAAACAACCACAGCGTTGTGTTTCGCCCCGTGTGAGTGAGGTTACCGGAGGCCCAATCTCTCCCACTATCCCCATCCCTTCCCAATCCTTATATCCGAAACCCTTATCCCTAAAAGGCCAGCAACGCACTCGTAACTCCTTTGGTGGACACCTGCAACCACTGGCGGCGCTGATTGCTTACCATTAGGTAATCCATCTGCTCTTAGTATTGAATTTAAGTATCTATAAAGTTTAAACTTTTTAAAGTCGTTTCCATGATTATTGTCATGAAATTGAATTGTATGAAAATCCTTATTGCTTTTTAAACGCCCTTAAAATAGTCTTTAAAAACGCCAAAGCTGAATTTTCTGTCAGCATGTCAGTCAGATACCGGTTACTACAGATGGGCTCCAATAGGGCTGATGTTCAACCGGGGTTACGGGGCAAGGACAATTATGTGCTGCGGCGTCGACCTGGAGAAGGAAAAGGAAAGGGAAGGTTTATAGACAGTAAGAGTCTGACACTCCCTCTCGTACCAACCATTGTAAGAAAATTTGTTTGACAATCTCCCCCCTCCCCTCTCAAAAACAAAAACCTATCAGTCAGTGAAGATAGGTGCTCGTTTCAAAATATAAATTCGTACGGACCAGAACGGTCAAGAAACTCGCATAGTGTCTTTCAATGGTGTTCTTGGTTTGATGTTGGAAGTGGTCATTTGAACTCTGCTATAAGACGACGCAACTCCATCAAGTTTCGTCTCATTTCATTTGTCTTCATGAGTAATTATTATATATCATCCATTATCTTATAAGTACCCACTGCTAAGAAAGGCCTCTTCTCAAACGGAAAAGGTTTGAGCATTAATCACCACGCTTGCTCAAGGCGGATTGGCGATTTCAAGCTTAGTAGAGGGTCTGATTTGAAGCAGGAGTTGAATTTGTTGAAAAAAAAAGTTGGTCATAAGTAGTCTATAATGAAACGAAGCAATGCCATCGAGTAATGTCTTGTTTAAGTCATCTGAACTTAACTTTGTTTTAAATGATACCATTAGTAACCAATAGTTTTTTTTATTTATTTATTAGAAAAATACAGAGTAAACTTAAGAACTAATTACAATGTCCCACAAAACTGTAAAAGCAGTTTGACTGTGGGATCAACTTATATTTATTAACTAAATAAAATACATTTTATTTTAACAAATGAAGTGCTTAGTTATAATTATGTACTATAATATTACAAATCAATGTTGAGGGTAAATTATGCAAGAGATATTTTTTTAACATACTTTTGAATCTTTTTTTTTGGTTTCATTTTTTATGTCCTCAGGTAATCCGTTGAGTATGGATGGAATACGTTATTTTTATTTCTTTACTGTATTCAAATCTAGCACGATTTCAGTGCAAAAAATAAAACAGTAAAACTAAAAATAAAACACATACATTGATAGGACACACAAACTAGTAGTTCCGACGGGCGTGAGCTCGCCCGCTCGCGTATTTTGATCGCCGTCCGACCAGACCCGAATGTTCTAAGTATCGTAGACCGCGCGCATCTAAAAGATCTATAAGACTACCACCACCGATGCGGGTACAATCGGCATGTACCGCCCTGATCTGGCTGGCCTGATTTGAGATCATTTAGGGTCTGGCACTCAGTGTCGCTCCCCAACAAAAGAAGCCATTTAATGATTTTCCACTCTCAAATAAAAAAATGAGCCAAGACCTGGATTGTAAAGTACCTGTGATGCTGAACTATGTATGTATAAACAATATAAACAAAACATAAAAAATTAAACTAACTAACTTTATTAAAAAAAAAGATTTTAATACATAAATTTTAGGTTCAATAATTATTGTTATATTATTATTTGATTACATAATATCCATTTGACGTGTCCGTATAAGAATCCAGTTTCGGTATACATATGTAAGTTCTGCCTATTCCTATTATAACTAGTTCTTCTCCTTCTCGACAGCGGTCGTGCCAACTAAATGCTAATGTGGTAGTTATGTAAACAGCCATTGTAATCACGATTAATATCAAACGCTGTGGCCCCATCATCTGAAACAATAAAATTCAATATATTGTTTTTTATTGTAAATGTCTTGCATACTTTCTTAATGATTTGTTCCTACATGTTCTTCAATTCACCTGATTTTTCTACATTTGCTTGAGACCCGCATTGCTACTAACTACATCACCTGAACATCAGTATGTTAAGTTGATATGAATGCTGCTGTCCATGTGATAGTATGTAACAGTGCGGTTCATTCCAACTAATCAAATTCAATACTTTTATCCAAATGTCAATATCTATGAAATTTGTATGAAATTCTAAATTTTGACGTCATAGTAGTAGTGTCAAAGTCAAATAAGTAGTTTAATTACTTTATAATAAATGGTAAAAAATATCGAAAAGTTTGCTACAGTTCGATGACTAAAATAAAAGTAGATACCTATAGTTAATTTTCATTATAATTATTTGTATTCAAACGTCGCTTTGATTTATTTTTGAATTAGGAAACTAGGTACACAATTTTAAAAGTCGATCGCTTCTCGAGCTTGAGTTTTCATAGTACCGAAGCTTATACCACAGTAAAAATATCATACAGTATTGTAACTCGGCCGCTTGAAAGAAATAAATACCTACAGCCGCGCGGTACGTAAACATGCGTTAGGGCTGCTCGTCTCCAGTATTTTAATTACCTTTGTCTACTTTCTGTTTCCATTTAGTTTTGTGATTGTAAATATCCTTTTTTTTATATAAACAAATAAAGTGCTTTAAAAATAAACAAACAAAATTTCTTTGGCCACCAATGCCGAACTGAACAGCTGACTACGAATGTTCTAAAATCCCAACCTTCAAACATCAAAATATTACATGAGTCTAGCTGTTATTATTGTTGTTACTAAAACCGAGAAAAAAAAACAGTTTTTATTGGTAGGTATTATGTTGTTAAAGCAGCAGCAAAAACTCTTTATGATCGAAAACTATCTTATGACACAGAGACTGCCAAATTTATTTTTTCTAGTATTATTCATAAACACAGATAATAAACAAATATTATTAATAATAAAATACCACACTCTCTACTTTGAATTATACAAACTAACAAAACATAAATCAACCGTTTTAACACAAGCGTAAGTAGGTAGGTACCTAACGTATCATGATTCATTCAGAACCAGAACCGCCTATAACTACCTATTTCACTCGTCTCAATAACTTTATTCATTTTATTTATAAATTCAAACACCTGTTTTCGTGAGATAAAAGGAAATAATGATCCATTATAAAGACACACATTATGTACCTACCTAGGCTACTAGTAAGTAAAATTATTTTATAGTCTTACCTTTCAGAGTTTCCAGGTAATTTAAAAAAACTATGCGTTATTGACGAATTCATGCAACCAAACACAGCACAATATTTCCTATTCGTCAATGTACTCGAGCTTATTTCTAAATAAAAGACAACACACCGTCCGTTCGTCACTGCGGTACAGCCGCGTCTGTCAGCGTCCCGAGCGCGTCCCGACATCGGGTGCGTAGGTATAGTTCGCGTTTCGGCCGTTTCTATGAAGTTGAAATACTTGTAGATATTATTACCTTGCTTATACTAACGATCAGCGTCTATAAAAAAGATAAATGATGTTTCAGATACTTTTTACACGAGACACATGACTCAAGTCATTATAATGGTTTATACTCCTAGATATTTTCACCAACGTTTGGGACGTAATAATGGAAAAACCTGTTTTGTACAGACAGAACCAAAAATAACTGATTGTATCGTGCATAGTGAGAGAGTGAGAGAGACCTAAGCTTATTTATTGATGATGACATATGCCATTCATGACCGAGCCGAAAAAGATAGAATGAATGATTTACAAATAATAAGATAATCGGAAATACGTAGTAGACAAAACAATCAAAAATACTTATGAATAGATTTGTGACCTTATGATTATTTAAACGACTTGATAATTCATGAGGTATATAAAGATTACTTATTAAAAGTCCGAATGGAGTAGAAGAAGGAGGGAGAGGCTT